GTATATATAGTCTACTTTTACGTTTGTTTGGTCGTACGTACCTACTATACTAAGTAAATACTATACTGTCTGTAGTGTAGTAACTAATAGTATCTGTCTGTTATCTCTCTCTCTCTCTCTCTCTCTCTCTCTCTCTCTCTCTCTCTCTCCATGTAGACTTCTAAATTCCCATGTCATGCAAGACACCTCACTTCTACTATGCGATTTTCTCTTTGACACCAACCTGCTAAACTCAAGAGAGGTATAGTGTTCCTGAACGTATTTCATAGACTATTAAGTGCCAACATTCATGGCATATTACACATGCTGAACTTCCAAATGTCCATATACTATAGATCACCCACTCTTCCTCACTGCAGATCGCCCACTCTTCCTCTTCTCCAATTTTCTCTCTCTAACAACTTCCTATTGAACTCCAAACCCAGATTTTGCAACTAACACAAACAAACCTCTGATACATCATTCCTCATTCATAGCCTCCCATGGAACATGGAATCAAGCAAAAGAATAATTGAATGCTCTAATACTAAGCCCTTCATGTTCTCCAGCACAGCTTCTTCAATCACAGCCAAGTAATAGCAAAATAAACACACACTGTTTAAAATGCATGCAGCATGTATCAATCAAAAGCACGCAGACAGGACCAAGCGCCTCTCCAATCTCCACAACCTGCAGCCTCAATCCACCTCTCTGCAAAACCTAATAATAGCCCTTTCCCAGAAGATTTTGAAACCACAGAGAAGCAGATTCTGCAAATAGCGGTTTTCCGGAGAAGAAAAGTGATTTTCTGACAAATGACACTCTGGATTTTAAAGGACCATGTAATGGGTGAAGCAGAGGATTAGGGCAAGGAAGAGAGGTGACACGTGAAGGAAGGTGGATTTAGCTGGAACATGGTTTGTAGTAAGTGACAGTGGTTTTCTGGCAAGAAAGCTAGTTTTCCAGTGTAAGTAGTGAGCAGATTCCACCCAAAAAACTGGTTTTCTGTTAAGACCCTGATTATTGAGTTAGCTTGTCCAATTGCAATAAGGGAGCAAGAACAGTTTGCAGACTCTGTGTGTGTGTGTGTGTGTGTGTGAGAGAGAGACAGAGAGAGAGAGAGAGAGAGTGCTTGGGTCGCTAGAACATTAAGCCCCAACAAATTGAGCACATGTTATTGCATAAAATTATAGCTTTTATGGGAATCCAACAAAAATACTATCACAAGTAAATTTATATGAAACAACCAAACAGAAGATAAACCTTAATAATGAATATTTTAATCGCAACAATGAATTACTAGATAAGGGGTGCACCAAACAAGCCCAAAGGTATTGCTTTTGTTAGGGAGAAAAGGGAGAAACCACTTTGATCATCGTCACATCATAGCCTCTTCCCAATTAATTGGGGTCAGCTACACGAATCCTAGTCCGTCATTCTGCTTTATTAGGAAAAACCACTTTGATAAATCATATTTCATAAGCCGATCAAATTCAGGCCCAGTTATGCTACAAAATAATAGATCAATCCAAAGATTGTGAATCTAGAGTTTCATATAAAAAAGATGAGAGCGGGGAATGATATGAAACCCCAAACACCATAAATCTTTGTAGAATATAACATGAGGGTACAGCAAGAACCACACGATATCTAAAAAACAATGAGTTTCCAATTGTGTTATCCAGCATTGCCCAATTCTCTATGTAATTATTTCAGAACTCATAGGTTTAAGTTCTTAACTTTTAATGCATCAAACCTTGAGCACCATTGCCATAGGATTGGGCATAGTCAATGTTATTAGAGCAGTGATCAGTCACTGTAGTAGCGAGGGGTTTGGTCCAATCAACCATCGGTCAACTCAATCAAAGGAAAAATATGAACATTAGTATCAATAATGGTTTAAAGCTATATAATAATTACAGAACAATTTGCTAAAAATTGTTTAGCTGATCTAATCAGTCAAAACCAACCAATCCAACCAGCCAAAACCAGTCAAATAGCAATTTTCACTCATTTTCAATCAAACTCCATTTCTTTAAACCAGACCTGTCAGATCGGGTCAGATCGGCTGGTCTGGTCCGGTCTTCATAACTATGGGCCTAGTGTATTTCTAAGCAGCAAATAGTTTCTCCTTTTTCAACTACAAGGAAACCAAAAACATATGACTGAAGAGCTAAAAAACGATTTCTGCAGTAATCTAAATATCAAAGTAAATAACTGCAAAGAAACTGGCAGACATAAAAAGAAAATACACTTCCGAAGCAACAAGTCATCATGTGGAAGAAAGTTTAAGTCATACGGATTACTTATTGGTAGGTGCTCTTTTTTTATGGCTATACTGATTAGTAGGTGTTCCGCCTAATGAAAGTACTTTCTACCTGGTAAAACTATAAGGCAAAGCCAAAGTAGCTAATAATTTATGAAAAAAGAACTTTGACATTTACCACATATGAAGTCACTGCTTATTCCAACATCAGGAACGATGTTCCTTATCTTATCCACAAGATCCAAGTAGGCATCTCGAGTGTATCCTCTCCTCATTCTTTCAAGCACTGTTGAACTCCCAGTCTGTGCCGGCAAATGGATATATTTACAGATATTATACCTGCCATGCATTAGCACCTGCAACTCATCAGAAAAATTCCTAGGACCACAATCTGTGCAAAAAAAGGCATATTTTACATATAAAGGGCCGTAACCCTGTGCTGGTCCCGCCTACGCAGGGTCCCAGGGAGGAGTGGACTGGAAACGGTCATAACCTTTTGCTTTTTATGCACAAAGTGGCCGCTCTCAGGACTCAAACCTGCACTCTCGCACTGGCTACCCGAGCTTTTTACCATTACACCAAGTGACGGCCCCTAATTACCTAGGATATACCTAATTACCTATCACGCATTAAATAAAGTAGCTCATCAGGAAAATCTTTAGGATGTGGAGATGTATATCTGAATCGCATTTCAGGAAATTCAGATGACAATCGATCCAAGAGGTCGGCAAAACGAAGCCCCATCTTCTTCACTTTGCACATACTCGAAAATCCTTCACTAAATCTCCATGTTTCACCTGATTCAACCTCAGTATCCAGAACAGAAGCATCATTGTAGCTGTTAACATTCTGACCAAGAAGCATTACTTCTTTGACACCCTGATCCCAAAGCTCACCAACTTCTCTCACTATAGACTCCACCGGACGAGATCTCTCCCTTCCTCTAGTGAAAGGTACGATGCAAAAGGAGCACATGTTATTGCACCCTCTCATTATGGACACAAATGCGCTAATTGAATTACTCGAGATCCTCACTGGACTGATATCAGCATAAGTTTCTTCGAGTGATAAAAGTGTATTAATTCCTTTCTGGCCATAATCAACGGATTCTAGTAAACGGGGCAGGTCTCTATATGCATCAGGTCCACAAACAACATCAACCATTTTATCAGCATCAAGAATTTTCTCTTTTAGCCTCTCAGCCATACATCCCAAAACAACCACTTTGGGAGGGTGCAAAGACATCGATCTGCCGATAGCGACGTTGCTTTTCCAATGCCTCTTTAGAAACCAGAAGTAGTTGAGTCTCTGCCACACTTTTTGCTCAGCATTGTCTCGAATAGCACAAGTGTTGATAAAAATGATTTCCGCACTCTCTGGCACTTCTACAATATCTGTATACCCAGCTGTCTTCATGATAGAAAGAACAATTTCCATGTCGTTGATGTTCATTTGGCACCCATAAGTCTCATGGTAAATGCGACCTTTTGAAGGAATATTGACAGCTAAAGGAGGCCTAAAGAGATACCACACAGATCAGCATTTGAATCCTGACTAGAATCAGATTCCACATATATCATGATATTGCATGCATGATTACAAGCAAACGAATGTAGACAAAAAAAAAATGTAGATGAAGAAAAATACAAGAACGAGACAGCTAGAGAAACAATTCTAGAAAATGAATTGTATCCCTACTACAAATATATATCCATTATACTGTATATAAATAAGATACGTAATTGTACGAAACCTTGCATGCATGGAAACCTTATTATACTACTTTTAGATGGCAGTTTTGTGTAGTCAGTAGTAAGGGGCCTTTCATGTTGGCTAGACAAATATATTTTGCTCATTTATACACTACCTAAGACATTTTAGAGGGAGAGATCAAAGTGATTGATCATCTTATCTCGGTCTGCGCTTCACACTATTATTAATGTACGGTCCTATGGGGTATGCCACCCCAATAATCTGGTGAATCCCATTTCAGCTTTAGTTTCATTATACCTGTCCCACAATTAAATGTGATTCGATAAACAAATCCTTACTAGTTATGTCGCAGAGGGCAATGAAGCCATCCAAGTAAAGAGAACCAGAAAATTGCAGTAAATCCACTTATAATCAATTTAACAAATTTGACCTCCACCAATTAGCCCAAACTCAATATTATCCAGCACTAAGCTACCTAAGAAACTGAGAACCAAATTCTTGTTCAGAGCACTGACAGCCCTCTTCCCCTACCCCTCCACCCCATAATGATATACCCACTCCCTTAGCTTCGAATTAAACCAGAGATCCAGCAGAAAAATTACCTATATAAATGAATAAAACAGGGAATCCTACCAATAGTTCAATTCAACTGAATTAACTGCTTAAAGATTAGCAAAACCAGAGAACTCAGACCTTGTTCCGTTAAACCAGAGTAAGAGCAGCTAAATTGCTCTAATAAGCGAATACATCAAGGAGACAGGGACATAGAACAAACCCAACATTGCATAAACGAGAGAATATGAACCAGAGAACTTAACCTGAGCTCAAATTAACCAGAGAAACAGCAACTAAATCACCAAATGAATCAATAAAACACATAAATAGGAAAATACACAAACCCCAACATCACCAATAGTTTTAATTCGACCAAATCAACCCAACAAGGGCGTTGCTCAATCAAGAGAAGACAGACCAGAGAACTTACTCTTGCAGGGTCTCCAGAGAAGAAGATGGAACTACAAAGTGCGAAAGCCCAGAAATCTCACCACTAGTGATGGAGGAGTGAGGAGAAGTAGCATAGGTGGTGGGGTAGAGAGAGAAAGGAGCGTATCTCCTCCTCTTGAGGAAGAGAGATGGAGGAGAGAGAGTGGGTAAGCTGCGAAAGCTTCGAAAGCACGAAGCGCCTCCATGAAATAGGGCTAAGCGCATGAAAGAGTGGGGTTGAGTAAGGAGGAGAGAGGAAAGTGAAGAAACAGCCATTTGAGATGATATTATCGTAACATTATTTCGCCATGGGCATCTGCAAGATTTGGAGCTCGAGCTTTAGATAACAGGAGCATCCTAGTCCCGCCGCTAGCACCCCTTCGCTAAAAGCAAGGGCATTTTAACTTTAAAAACTCGGACTCGGATACTGGGCCCGATTCCGATAAGGAATAAGTGTAGGGTGCAGTTTGCATACGAATGCATCCGTAGTTGTAGAGGTAAGGTGCACCTTCAAATTTTATCATGGTATAAAATTTTGATGCAAAATATTCTTAAGATTATCTAAAAAAAAAAATTATATTTAATTATAAAATTTTAAATTTTAAAAATAGTTAAAATCAAGTAGATCTATAAACATATAAAAATCTTGAAAATCGACGGTGTAGATAATATGTTATAAAATGCATTATTTCTAAGACTTAATTTATTTTTATTTTTCATTGTCATACATCTCAATGTCGAGATGATCAATCCAAGGGTTTTTCAACATTAAAACTACCTTTTCCAATGGATTTTTAAATGGCGTTTGTAGTTTTGCATTATAAGGTAAAAAAAGTTTATATAGGGTTGCAACATTAAATTGTAGTATCAGGTGCACTAAAAATATTGTTTGGATGTTAGAAAACCCTCTAATTGATCATCTCGATATTGAGATGTATGAATATGAAAAGATAAAAAGATTTCAGAGTCTAAAAATAGTAAATATTACATTACATTATCTAGACTATCTATTTCAAGATTTTCATGAGTTTATAAATCTACTTGATTTGAGAATTTGATATTTTATAATTAGAGATAGAAATAAATTGTCAAGCTATCGTAAGAATTTTTTATATCAAACTTACATTCATGATACGTGCACCTTAATTGGATTGTTTAAGGTTGCAACCTTATTGAAACCAATGTAATGCCGTTCTCGAAAGTCAAGATGGAAATTGTCCTAGTCCAACGATGTCCAACCACTTATTCTTAGACCCGAGCGAATCGAGTCTGTTCAGTGATTTGCAACCCCAGCAAGATATCTGTTTCGCTTAGACTCGTTTTTTCTGTTTAGACTCGTTTTTTCTGTTAGAAAATGGCGTAATGCGTTATTATGGATTCATTTCTATAAGGCCTAGGCTTTACGAAAGCAAGGTAAACTCCCACTTCGAATCATCATAAAGTAACATTGATTATAAATTTTGAAGCTCAATGATACAAGATCATATTAGTCAAAAAAATGAGACTTCTTTTTAGATTGAAATGGATGGTCTAGATAATTTATTATAATATACAGTATTTTTAGAGCTTAAAATCCTTATTTTTTTCACAACTATAATAGTCGAGGTTGAGATGATTCATTTGAAAGTTTTTTTATACGGAAACTACAATTTTGGGTGAGTTTTTAAGGGTGAGGATTTACTTATTTTGATAGGGTTAGAGCCCTATCAAAATATTTTCCCACTATTATGGGATGTGGTTTTGGGATTACTTCAGTCTTTTATGTTGAAGTAAGGCTGCAGATATTTGCACTATCCATCCATAAAGCAAACTCTTTATGGAAAAAAAAAATAAGCCTCATTTTAAAACTCATCGAAATTTATAGTTCGAACATAAAAAACCTTCAAATCGATCATCTCGACTTTTGATAGTTATGATTGTGAAAAAATTAGGATCTCAAACCCTAAAAATAGTGTATATTGCAACACATTATCTAGACCGTCCATTTTCAAATGTTCATATATCTTTTTGAACTACAAAATTCATGATCAAATGGTGGAAATAGATTTTAGAATCATCTTAGACATTTCCTACAACTAACATGCTTTTTGGACAAAAAATTTGAAAGTGAGGCTTTACTTTTTTGCATAAGGCCTAAGCCTTATAGAAAATGTATCCTTCGGACAATTTAGACCCAGCACCCAATTTGAGAGGAAAATTGAGGCTTCTTGGTGCCCCAGTTTTCCTTCGGTCGCATTCCCCCAAGTCTATCTCTATCTCTTTTCTTTCTTCTCTACCCCTAAAATGTTTCTCCTTTTCGATTGGCACTAGGTTCTGGCTTTTTATGCATAAAAGTAAAGCTCCACCACAAAATCTTGTCCAAAAATGCAATCTAAACATCATAAACTCTGACCTAAAACTCTATTTTCATCTTTAATTATGAAATTTAAAATTCTAAACAGATGTGTATTATTTGTCAAGATACACTATATTTAAAACTTGAAATCCATTTTTAATTAGTATTATTTATCCAAGAGATTTGAGTTGCTTTATTCCGCAGCAACGTCCTTTTCTTTTGTTATTACCTCACTATAAAAATGAGCTCTCTCTACAATTTACCGTTTTCCAAAATCCTATTCTTCACTTTAATTAAATTTAATAAAAATGGCCCTAAATAATTTAAGAATTACCAAACAAAATATGGTAAACATGAGTACTTTTAGTAAAAATAAAGGGCGCTATAGAAACAATGTAGCATCCGGTGCACTATGCTGGAATTTTTAGGAGTCTACTGACTCATATGCACCTCTTTATGATCCATTTTTAGATGGATTTTGGACTCAATTGTTTAGGAACATAAAAGCTATAACCTAGAGATCACTAATATATAAAAATAAACTTTTTTTATCGTTGGATTTTATTTTCTTGGAGGGACCATCAGTTTATATCCTTATTTAAGATTGATCTTTTATGCTTTGGGGGATGCAAATGTAAGACTTGGCATCATAAATTTGGTGCTCCAATAAAAAATAATGAGAAATATTGACATTTTGTATTAAAAAAGAAACAGGGAACGTTTACGGCAGCCTCAATGAAATTACCCTAATGAAAAAGGTTCAGTAATAACACAGGAAAATAGGGGAAAACTCAAAGAAAATAGGAAAGCTGTGGCAAATTAATCTTGGTCACCAAGCAAATGAAAGGACTGCTGATTGTTTTTTCTTCTTTCTTGTCTTTTCCTTTTTTTAAATAGGTGATGGGCTTCAATTTTATTACTTCCATGAATAAGGAGAATAATGACCGATATATGCATCAGAGGCCATCAGTTTGGAGAGGTTTATGCCCTCACATAACTCTATAATTTGAATTTCAGTCCTTTCTTACAAATAAAGAAAATTTGATAAATGGCAGCAGTCGAAGAAAGTACTGCAATGTTTTGCCTCATCAGTGCAATGGAATCTGATAAGAGACATTCATTTAAATGGATAAAAGCAGCTTATCTGGCAGCATTGTTTTTTAGTATCGTTACTTCCATTCTTTGACAGCAAAGCCTCTGCGCAATTCACTTCTCTGTTGATATATCGCAATGAATTGGATGAGCCCCTAGATTTCAGGACCATGGAGACTTGCATCTTCTGCCAAGAAAAGGAAAAAGAAAAAAATAAAAGAATATGATAAGCAAGGTTCGTGATATAAGGCTAGTTATCCATCCATCTTTGTTTCTTTAAAAATAGATGGTGAACAATATAGTGGTTAACTTTTTTCCAATCATTTGTAAAATAGAACACTATTGATGCCAGTTATTTGCGAACGAGTAGGATCCATTATGCCACTTTGTTCCCTTCCAGTTACTGAACGAGTAGGATCCATTATGCCAATGTTCCAACTGCTAATGGGGTCACACAAGCAGAGACAAGCATAAGATGTTTGTGTGTGTGAGTAAGAGAGAGAGAGAGAGAGAGAGAGAGATCCGCCTGGGGACTGCTGTGCTCATTTTCTCGTGCTAACTACACTTTGTACCTCGGAGGCTTAGAATGCGAGAAACTGACCTTTGTGTTGGGAAAGTAGGGAGCGAGGAAGAAATTTGTAGGGATTCATTATACCATTGGGGTCAAATAATCCCTTGATAGATGCCATGAGATGAACCTGTTAATTCCACAACAGTCACATCAGCATTGTCACAGGAGAAACCATCATGTCTCAATTGCTAAAATTTTGAAACCACAAAGTTGTGGGAATGGGCACTACATGAAGTTAAACAGAGCGTCCAATTATGTTTTACCCCTTTGCTATTGTTTTTTCCAGAAACTACTTGGTCTGATTGTTATTATCACACTGCTAAACTAAAACCACACTGCCCCCCAAACACCCCCTCCCCCCCCAAAAAAAAAAGAAAGACAAAACGCTATGACCTTTATCATCCCAAATCTTGGTTTGATTGCTATCAAAAAGAAAAAGAGAAGGAAAAAAAAAAAAAAAAAAGGAAAAGAAAAAACAGTTCTCTTATTCTGAAAGCTTCCATTGGCAATATGGAATTACTAGAGATATTTTGCCAGGAAAAATGACATGTACTTTGGTGATCCCCTGCTCATTAGTGAACAAAGAACAGTCATTGCATAATGAACATCGAAATAGTAACTTTATCAAAAGAAAAAGAGAACGACGATTCTATGGTGAACAAGTGGGATCTTACTGCTTCCGAAGACTTGCTGTAATGTATTTCATTTGCTTTCATAAGGCCTAGGCCATGCTCTGCACTTATACTCCCTCTGTGCTTGGATGTCCACTCATAAACAAAGGGTTCAATCAATTCAAAAACCTAGCAGTACAAGAGAACCATGTCACTTAGAGAGATGGATGGATGATTGTGTGGGTGCAGCATCCAATGCTTAATTATGGAGTGGGAAAAGTGTAATAAGTGGGAAAAGTGGATTACAGTGTCATCATACACTGGTGTTGAGATATTTAGGTGTAGATTACCATCCCCAAGATGGCCATATCCCAATACTTTTGCAGATTCACCTGTAGAATATCAAAACATGACATTGAAGATCAGTTATGTGGTAAAGCATTTCCAGGTAGTGAACTTGGCACCTGCAAATGCATAGCACCATTGCTCAAAAAAGGGGCATGGTCTTGCTCATCGAAAGTAAATTTATGAGCCAGTTTATGGATGTTTCACTTTAGTAAAACCAATTACCTAGCCTTTTTCGCATTTCCTCAACAATCTTGTAAAGATTTTCAATGGGTAGAGACAGATCGTACTTGTAGACAGCACCTGCTTTCATTAAAGCTTCTGCAATTCCCTGAAACACAGTAATGCCTTTCGAAACTGCTTGTCCAGTGACAAGAATGAGAGACAAAGGAATATAACAAAGACATGGAACAGTTAAATGAAAGGCTACACAGTTTTCCTTACATCAATAAGGCACCATAATCACCATAAGAGTGATGGATAATGCATATGTTGGATAACCAAGTCTACCAAGGCCATTGTAACTACTGTTAAGTAGTTGGATGCTTGGCCCTTTGCATCAATAGATATGCACATCATGCGGATTGAAGCAGAAGGTGACAATAAAGATGAGATGGCAACATATGTGAAACGATTTATATGTAAATTTATGGTAGAAAAATCTCATGAAGTCAACCATGTAACTGATCCTACTGATTCAACATGCATGCAGTCCGGATGAATCCTCTAAAATGCTAAAACCAATACTGGTAGATATTATTGATGAGGCAAAAATAAGAATTACAGAAAAGTTCATTGCAATAATTGAATATGATCCTTTTGTAAATAAAACCTCACGGATTTGCCAAAATGATGAAGCTTGATTCATGTCTTGCGCCATAACACCATCAGAAAGGATACCCCTTTCCATGGAATGTAGAAAAAAGGATTCCAGCTTCTCCCTGCATGATATCAAAATTTGAATATGACAAATTGAACTCGAGAGAATTACAAAGCTACGCAATACAAATGACAATGTTCTCAAGGACAGCTCTAAATACTGACTCCTTTTCACAACAGAGATTGAACTGGAGTTGAAAAACAAAGTACCAGGACAGTAAGGAAGGGTCTTAGTCCATGTCTTTAAATTAGAAACCCACGTATCTAATATGTTAACTCCAACTAATATAATGCATTTTGACAATAATACAATAGAATACTGACTTGATGTGCTCATCAGATTCTTCATAAAAATGCAAGTTTTAGAAATTAAAGATTTCTCAATCTGGTAGAAGAAAATGGCAAAAGTATTTCATAGAAAAAGGACAATAAAGGGCAACAACAACACTTCACCTCTACATCATAATGTTCACATGAGGAATTTTCTTCAAGGGCAGTATATTATTTTGGACTATCAATATGATATCGCTCAAATAAAGCCAAAAATGTGCATATGCATCTAAAGTACTATACCTTAATGCCTATAACATACCTTGTAAATGAATATGATTCTTTTTCATTCCTTTTGAAAAATATTACTGATATGATACATTAAGAGTTTCCTAGAATTGCTTTTTTCAATTATAGTAATGAAATATAATGAAAGGCGCAGTTTGTATAAGGTGACGACCTTACTTGTAGAAATAAGGTTGTGATGCTCTATTTCGTCCATTTTAATTGAGCAGTGTAGATTCAGAATGTTTTTTAAGACTGTCAAAAACTGGCACGTCTTTCGAGCTACACCATCCAAATAAGATGGATGGTGTAGATTACTGCAATCTTATATCAACTTTTTCCTATAATGAATAAACCGAATTAATTTATTTGAAATTGCAAATACAATGATCATTCACATGGAACAGAAAGAGAGATCATCTACATGAAATAGAAAGAGAGCAACCTCTTTGAAGTTGAAAAACATTAGTTCCATGAAAAAATACATAAACATTATGAAGTAGAGTTTACAAACTTGTCATGTGACTCGTTGCTGCCGGTGGTCTCAATAAGAACATAAAAGTTCGAGGGAGGCAAGGGGTTTCGCACACCGTCTAAATAAGACAAAACCTGTTGAATTTTGCAACAACTTTAGAATATAGGAATATCGACACAAGGAGAGAAAAAGATTAGACTGCCATCATAGAGAATGCACTAATAACATCATATAAGATTCCTAAACATTCCCAAAAAAAAAAATCATATAAGATTCTAACTTGTTGAGTCGAATATCGAAAACTTAAAGACTAAAGGGCTTTAACAATTATAAAACCAAAACCATACTCATGTAGAATAGATTTCAGCAATTACTTTGGTGGTAAAACACTTCGAGTTTGTTAAGTCGTTAAAAAAACAGTAAAAATGGCAAACTCAAAAAATAACTCATCTAAAAATTGGAAAGGGATTAAACAATTTCCATTAAAATTCATAAGAAGTTGAAAAAATACAAGACATACCTATAAATTCCACAAGCACAAATATGTAAAAAGAGATTATCACGACAGTATTGCAAAGTTGAACTATTGTTATATCTACATAAACTAGGGAATAAAATATCATCATCATCATCAAAACCTTTTTCCAGCTATTTAAGGTCGGCTATAAGAATCCCAGTCTTTTATTCTGCTCTATCAAGGACATACCCTTATTGAGGCCATAAGTCCCCATATATTTTCTCAGTACTTCTAACCATAGCCTTCCACGTGAACCAACTCGCACCTCCTAACAGGTGCTGTATTGGGTATGCGCTGCACATAGCCAACCAACCTAAATCTACATTCTCTCATCTTATCACCTATTGGAGCCACACCTAAGCTATCCTTAATTTATTCATTTCAAATTTGATCCCTTCTTGTCTTGCCACTCATCTTTCTCAACATGCTCATCTCAGCTACATTCATCCTATAGGTATGTTGTTTCTTGACCGCCCAACATTGTGCCCCGTAAAACAAACTTGGTCTCACAATTGTCCTATAGAACTTTCTCTTCAACTTCATTGGTATGTGGTGATCATATAAAAATCCAGTTGCACTTCTCCAAACTAGGGAATAAAATATAAAAACCAACCTCACACAACTTTTATCAATCTTATCACTATATTATGTAAGTTATTATTTTTGGTTTTTATTGATAAAAGTTGCTTGAGGTTAAGATTGATAAAAGTTGCTTGAGGTTGATGCAGCCAAACTCATAACAATATTAAGCAACCTTAGGTTTTTCACGAAATGTATTGATTATGGAAATTACAATCCCTCAAAATAACTACTTGACTTTTCAAGCAGCATCCCTCAAAGTATGCCTTAAATCCATGTATATATCCGATAGATATTCAAGACCCCAATATAGACTCCTAGAAATTCATTTTTAAAAATGAATTTTTATTGATAACTAGGAAAATCTAGCAAAAGGTAAACCTAAATAGAAGGTTAAAGCTCGATATTACTCAGCTAAAATACTTAATACCCACAAATACCCGCCCAGCCAAGTTTTGGGCTGATATATTGGAGTTTTGCTTGTTTAGGCAGACACAAGAGAACTCGGTGAGTTTTTGAAAAGCTTATGGAGTCCTGTGACAACAAATGAGACAAAAAGGGTTCTTAAACCTTGAAAAAATCTTGAACTTATACCCATTTCTGCAGTAGGCCTTAGTCATTCATTTAATAAGATGATGACCACACCACTTCATATACAAAATGATTCCCAGTTCAGAAGAAGTCAGTATATGGAAATTCAAATTTAAAGGACAATTGTATACGCGGAGATTTTGAAACTTGAAACAGAGATAGATACCATGAATAACATGAAACATCAGTTGTATAAAACAATTACCAATTCCATAGATTCACAATCCAAGAATTCAAATGCTGAGAGAACCTCTCCAAGTTTTGTCTTAGCTTCCAACAGAAGTTTCTGTAGCATGTTGGACCTCCAAAAGTTAGACAAGAAAGTAATGAAAACAGCAAACCTAAACATCAAAGTATCATCACAGATATAACAGTAATGTTTTCTTTATACATGGAAAAGGAAAAGATCACATACAAAAAAGTACTAAGCTAATTAATATACGTTTGACTCACTTGCACTTTTGGAATAAATCTGAAAAATATAAACAAATATAGAGAATGTTCTCAACCCGTGCATACATATTCATGTTAAAATTTCCCTTCAAGTACCTGTTATTTCAAGCCATATTTAGTAAATAATTGTTCTCTTTAGACTAGATAAAGGAAACTAAGATTCCCTAAGGAATCAAGAACTCAATTTCACATGATATTGAATATTATATTAATTTTTTTATGGAGAAATCCAAGATCATAAAGCATTACAAAAGCAGTGCCAAATAAAGAAAATTACAAAAGTTGGAGAGTTCTCTTACACACCTGACAACTCAAGTAGTCATTGCATGCAAGAAATGCAAGATTAATTGACGACAAACGAAGAGGCGTAAGTATTGAAACTTTTGTGATAATTCCTAAGGATCCTTCACTACCTGTGAGAATAAGAGACAAAACATGAATATCTCATGCAAAAAGGACATATCCAACCCCTATGGAGTAAGTAGAAAGGTTTGTATTCAAGCTCTCACCAATAAATAATTGCTTTAAGTCGTAGCCAGTGTTATCTTTGCGTAAAGTCCCAAGCATGTCAACAATGGTGCCATTTGGCAGAACAACTTCAAGACCTGAACGTAAGTTAAAATTTTAGTTACCTGACAATATGAGCTCATAGTATACAGATTTAACATGGTATAATATGGATTAAAGAAATAAAAAATGGCTTTCTAAGAAAAGGACACATTTAGAATAGATTTTTCCAACACAAATATATCAATTTATTTACACTATTTGTAAGGTAGTAAGAAGGTAATATTATTTGCACTATATGTGAGGTTGTAAGAAGGTAATATTATCCCAAGCACGTCAACAATGGTGCCATTTGGTAGAACTTCAAGCCCTGAACAGAAGTTAAAATTTTAATTACCTGACAATTTGAGCTCATAGTATACAGATTTAACATGGTATAATAGGGATTCAAGGAATAACAAATGGCTTTCTTAAAAAAGGATACATTTAGAATAGGTTTTTCCAACACCAATATATCAATTTATTTACACTATTTGTAACGTTGTAAGAAGGAAATATTATCGTTGTGCATAGGGAATATTATTTTACAATTATTATAGCTGTACAGTAAGAGCATGTTGCCTCCTTACCCACTTGTAATTGTGTATAGGAGATTAATTCCCAATGCACAAGTAAAACAAGAAATGTTTCTAATATTTTTATCCTATAAAAGAAACAATTAAGAATGATGTCATCCAGCCCAAAGTACTTAAAGACCATCGTCACACATGACAGGTTTTCTCATGAATTGACTTCACTCTTTAATTCATTACAGCACATCTTACTACGATCCTCTAAAGTGACCAGCCAAATTATGCTTGCGTACAATCTTTTGCTCACAGATTCTCTTTGTAGATCCCTCGCAACAAGTCACAGCTCAAGGCTCTCAATGGTTCTCAGAGGGATATAACCCGTTATATATGAGATTTTGGTGATCCGATCCATCTTCCAGCCATATTCAATCATATCCTGCAATATTTTGTTTTCTTTCAGCTAAGTCATATCCTGCCATGTTATGTTTGATAAGAATCAGTCTTATTTTGTGTGGATGCGTCTTTGCAGTAAACAGCATGCATTTCATTTATATGGTCCATCACTGTGACTTCTTTTGTGTCCTCATCCCTTCCCATATTCCAACACCTCTCACCCAAGCCGACGACCACAGTGCATTGGAGTCTTAATTCACACCTTCATCTAACCACTCAAACCAAAGGACTTAAACCGCAACACATTTGCATATGCTATTTATACCACATCTTGGAAGTGGATTCATACAAGTGGTTAGTTGAATAAGAAAGCTGAATATTATGGAATTTTCATTAATATACAGAAATTTTGTGTTAGTCTACTACCTCACCTAATACATTTCCACGTAGTGATCCATAACGGACAAAGCGCAGACCACCTGCATTGGTTGAGACATTACCACCAATTTGACAACTTCCCTTTGCCCCCAAGTCTAGTGGCATCATAAATCTGAATATTGTAAATATTAGTTTTTCTATATTAAATTATAATACAAACAGGTAATCAAGAAGCACATCATGCGAGATATCAATTTTTTCAAAGGGATACTTGGATAGATATGGAAAGCAATTTACAAAAATAAGATTCTGCAGTAGCAGTAAAAAAACTATAGCACTATATAGCTGACAGTTATGCAGTGAATCAAAGAACATCATCTAATATATTTTCTGGATAGAAATGATAAGTATTTTAAGTCCCAGAAACTGTAGGAAACACATTTAGAAAGAACCAAAAGATGCTCCAACACTAGAAAGAATAACCAAAAGACCTCAAGGGAGAATCACATAAAAGGCCAAAAAAGTAATATAAATAAGCATAAGAGGTCCAGATTTCAGTTTTGAACACATGCTTCATAAAGAAAAAAGGCCAATAATAGTAAATGTAAATCGCCAAGTCATCCACGAGCATTTATGAAATTTTTTAAGATCATGCAATTCACACAAGAAAATCAAATGACAAGCGAGCCAGCTGGGCAAGCCATCAACTGATTCCAGTATGCTAATCATCTGCCACTTGTATCTTCAAAATCTTCAAGGTTTATTCCTACTTTTCAATGCACACAATGCAGATATTTCTCCCACTAATAGCATGATATCATCCCATTAGATCATTTAAGAAATGCAAATGACAATTACCCTTTCTCAGCCAGGAAGGAATCCAATTTTTCTAGTATGCACCCAGCTTCACAAACCAGTATTCCACTGACCTGCAAATGTCACATAAGATTCCAGAAGCATCATACAGAGAACTTAACAATCTCAGTATGGACACAGCACAATTGAAGGAACCATCTACATGCAAGCAATACTTATCAGACTGTAGTGAGGTACTCCTAACAGCATACAGTCCAATGAAAACATAATGAACGTAGATAAGTAGAAAGCCAAAACATCTAAAAGAATATAAATCATGGGAGAAGTTAAAAATCAAATCGATGGAGCATAAATTTAGCTAGATTTAGTGAACACGATGAACGATCTCATAACTACATCATGACCCAGTTAGATGCGCTGATATTTATCGGCAACTAGCTAATTATTTATCACCTCCAGAATGCACATGTTTATTACAACACCAAACATGTATATGAAAGATAAGTACATCACAGGAATCATGCTATCATGTGTTCAAATGAGTCAGAATGATCACAGCCTTAATGGAAACAAGCCTCTCAATGATAATTCCAAAGGGCCAGGGTACATAGGGAGGAATTTTTTAACCGCATCCAGTGGCCCAAAGGGGGAACACCAGTTCTCCAAAGGAAGGGGGATTAAATAAATTGTGAAATGTTGGCAAATTCATATATTATAAATTTGATTCATGTAGCCAGGAAAGGAAATATGGTTGTCATTCTGGGTAGAATGGGGAAATTACATTCTCAGGCCCTTTATTTCTTCTATGCTGGGCCTCTCTATTCGTTCTTTTGCTCTTTCATCATAAGATTTATTATGCATTAAAAAGCTAACAATTAAAGTTCAAATGCCCATACACAACTATAGTTAGACACATATTCTCTTGGTATAAAATGACAATCAGGATATGGAAATGACCAGATATCTGCAACTAAATGTTACATATGCTGGAAGGAAAAGAAGAGGCTATGCTACCTCTGCTGAGGGAGCTGCCTCTTATGCAATGCCAGTAGCATTCCATGACATAGTTATGCAACATGAAATATATACTATATACCTGGATAACCGGTTTTTATTAAAAGATATGATAAACAACTAATTTGAACTTTAGTATTCAGTTAACATGATAGAATAGGGATAATGCTGCATGACACATTTCTGAATGGCTGCGTGTACACTTGACTCTAATCTTTGTATACACTAAAAATTAAGCAGTCATCATAGTTATGCAGTCGTCATACCAAAATTAACATAAGATATTCATAATACTAGCTTATTTTCACAAAACAATGCTAGTCTTAGATGTAAGCTGCAAAAAGCAGTGAACTTAAAAAATCAATCAACTATTAACATAGATCAGCCAAAAGATCTTACATTGTCAAAGCCGATAATGTTGTTCATTGAACTTGTGCTAACAATCACCTGCACAGTACGATAGAAACTCAAAACATGTAAAACAATTCTATATCCACAACTGCAAAAGGACAAAAATATACCAATACTCAATTCTATATGAACAAGTGTAAATCGAAGTATATATTCCCGAGTCTAGACCATAGTTACCGGAATCTCCTCCTTTGCTTGGCGATCACTTGCAGAACCTCGATTCTCTCGATCCTGGAGTGGATCTCGTCTGAAACTCAATTTAGTGTTTTCGGGATCTCACTACATCTTATAAGGGAACGAGTTCCTTACAATTTAATTTCACGTTCTTGACCATTATAGGATCTAGTACCCTAGTCATATGGTTCGCGCTCCAGAGTACATTAGGATCTAGATTCCAAAATAATAGAACACAAGCATCGCCATATAAGGCATTCAGATCTTATCAATATGGGATCGCTTTAAAGTTTCCTTATTTATTTCATAGAAGAACTAAGCCTACATGTTATTGGTTAACAACACCAGGAGCTACATTTTAAAGCCACGGATCGTTATTACCTACACGAGGAACTCGTGTTCTAAGACAATGGGGCTCACTCCTATAAAAATTATTCCTCGTTCCATAATATTTTGGATCACTTTTAGTAATGAGCTTCCTGAATTAAGAAACTCAAAAAAATGCCCTTGGGAACTTCACTTCTTACATATAGGATCTCGCACCTTTACGTAATAATTCTGGATCCTATGTAATAAAGGAGCTCAATCCCCAACACACAGGGATCTCGATCCCGACCTTTGAGGTTGTACGGGCATCGATCCCCAACACAGGGATCTTTAGTATAGCTTCGATCCGCCGATCCTGGCCCCTCAGAACCGTTCCCGTTCCCGTTCTTATTCCCCGTACCCAACAACTACGGTCCAAACATCGGACATCAACATGTTACACGTATGTATACAACAATCACCGTAAGGAAGAAGACATATCTATACGTGCAGAAATACAAGGAAGAAGAGAATGCTAGTTTCATAGAGATAGACAAAATCATCCATGAGCAGCATAAAATCTCATAAGGCAGCAAGATTATTAAATAGTCCAAACACCATAGTTATACGATTCAAACAAACCAATCAACATAATTACCTCATCAAAAACAGGAACACTTCCACCAACAAGACCAGTGTTACCCCCTTGTGGAACAACTGCCAGGTATCTAGAATTACAATACTTTAGAATCTTGGATACCTGATCCGCAGAAGACAACGTAAACCAATAGAGCTCCACAATCTATACTATATTCATTGTTCTTTTATAGAAATCAGCAAGAAATAGTACCTCGTTAGTGTTCCTAGGTTTAAGTAAAAGCTGACTCGAGCCCTTATATTTCCGCATCCAATCCACATTGGCTGTCGACAATACATCTTCATCTTGAATAACACTTTTCTCACCCAATATCTTCTTGAAATAATCGATATCTTCCAAAGACAATTTAGAAAAGGAATCGTTCCTATGAAGTTCATATGCTGATGAGCCCAGCAATCTACGTTGGCTACTTTGAATCCCTTGTAATTTTGCGACAGAAGACTCTTGAAGCTTAGCTGTGCAAGTACTCAATGAACGCCAGCAGTTTATATTCTTTCCAAGAGATCCTCCATACAACGGGTTGGATGTGGCATATAAAGTTTCCTCTGTGGGCATAAACAGGCATGGTGAGGAACTATAAGAGCCATCCCTTGGAGAAGATAAGTGCATTCAATGAAAAAATTGAATACAAATATGTGCCGCAAAAACTTTTCAAGAACAAGAACGATTAATCCCACAGTTGATGAAAATCAAAGTCCATTTTCCATCCATAAGGATTTCTTTAGGCACTTCACCATCAAAGCAATAAACCACCAACTCACTAATAAACAACCAAATCACCATGGTACATTGTAACTCATGCAACACAATATATCATCAATATATATATATATATATATATGAATGCCAAGCAAGTGTAACAAAAAAAGAACAGCATCAGTTGGTTTGATGCACTTGGATGTGAAGAACAGCACATCCAAAACTGGCAAATACCTACTTACCCAAAAAAAACTGGTAAATACCAAATATTTTCAGAATTATCATCTACTGTTTGTTTATAATCATGATAATTCATTTACTAAAAAAAATGGAAAACACAAAATCAGTAAAAGAAATAGGCGACCAGATTCCACGAGATTGAGGATTCCGATGGTAACAAACTCAGGAGCCCATGAGTTCACAGAGATTACAATACACAAAAAAACCGTCATCAATTACCACATGAGACCACGAACAAGCAAAACTGCCTGCACATAATGCAACGCATCACAGACTCTACCAGCTTGATTGCTAGAGAGAGAGAGGAACGGGGAACAGTGACCATTACAATTATCAACCAAGTAAATCGGAGACTCTAGTATTGATTCTACTTCAGAACAAGCGATACAGAGGGAGAGAGAGATGCTCTTCATCATCATCGAACAAGTAAATCCGAAACCCTAGAATCACGCGAATGTCATCGCAATCAATCAAAATGCACCTGAACATCGCAGTTGTAGCCTCAAATTCCGGAAAATGAATTTGCTTCTTTGACAAAACAACAATAAATTCTGGGTTACCCTCCATTTATCCATGATTCCTGAGGCTTTTAGAAACCAGTCGATCAGGGCCTTTAGTATCAGTGTCTGATGATTCCTGCTGCTTTTAGAAAGCTGTCGATGAGGGCCCTTAGTATATCCAAAGCAGCATCGCCTGGTAGAGCATAAACTCACACTGCATATGTTTCTTTTGCCCTCTAAAATTGCGATCGGAGAGACACACTCGGTGATCGTTATACAGTTTGCTCAAGTGTCACCTTGATCGATCAAAGCAGGGACCTTTAGAACCTCGCTGAAAGGTGCAGGTTGGGTAGTCGGAAACCCCTGTCAGATGTAATTTTTTGGGTCAAGATTTTGTACGATACTGAAAAATTATTTTTATTATTAATTATAAAATTTTAAATTTTAAAAAGAAAAATTACAAACATATCTGCCATAGTTTATATAATTATAGTTTTATCAAATAGTTTTAGTTATTACCATCATGTCAAAATAAAAATTTTAAAAAAATAAAATAAATAAAAATTAACTTTATCTTTTTTTTGGTTGTTGAATAACCCAATTCAAAATTTTATCCGTTGTTCAGCAATCGAACAACCGAAAATACATCAATTTCAGTTATTAAAGAATCCAAAATTTAATTTTTGGTTGAATAGGCCAAAAATATTTTCTCTCTTTGATAGTTGAAAGGCAAAAAAGTGTTTTCTCTCTTATGACATATTTTATCTACGTCTTTCAAGTCATAGTTATCCGATAAAATTAAAAGGCCCTAAATTTAGGAGAAACATTAAGGATTATGAGATTAAAATAAATCTTTGTAGCGTATTCTCCCTATATCTCTTTGAAGTCATAGTTATCCGTTCTCTCTCTATCTCTTTGAAGTCCTGGTTATCCGATAAAATCAGGAAGGAACAACTAGTTTGAACCTTTAAATTTTGGAAAAATCTCAACGATTAAGAACTTAACCAAAGGAAAAAAGACAAAGAGAGAGTTTTTTAAAAAAAATCATTTTACCCAGGTAATAGAGAGAGGGGTAGAGAGATGACACGGAGGCCCACAAGAGAGAAAAAAATTTTAGTTATTCAAGAATTGAAAATTTTAAATTTTCAGTTATTCAAAAACCGCCGTTTTCGTTGTTGAATAACCCAAAATACTTTGAATTCTGTTGTTAACAACAACAACAACAAAAAAAAAGTAAAGTTTTTAAAATTTTTCGTTATGACATGAAAAAAAGAGACATGGTGGTAATAACGAAAACTATTCGGTACATCCGTAATAACGGAAACTATAAAAGATATATATGTAATTTTTCGTTCTAAAAATAATTCAAATTAGTTATATTTATAAGAACAATTGTTTCATACGGGGTTGGAGCGCATTTCGACAATATGCAGTCTAGAGGTATAAAGCATCCATCATAAAGATAGATGCAAATAGGTGATCCATTTAAAAACAATTGTAATTAACGGTCTATATGTTTTATTAATATAATTATTATTTCTAATTTTCATAAAAAAAACTCATATTCATGATCTCCATGTTAAAGATTATATAGTCTTTAAAACTTAGGATTATAGTCAAGTCCACATTTCTACATGTGCGGGCTTGGGCTCATGTTAACCGTGTCCTATCTATAAAGGAATAAAAATCTTTAAAGGAATGGTCTAGATGATGTGTTGCAAGATGTATTGTTTCAAAACTTGAAATTTCTTTTTTCTCTATCTTTGTACATAACGATGTTGACACGGTCAATTAAATATTTTTCCAATATCAAAACAACTTTTATTGAAAGATTTTAGACTTACACCTTAATTTTACATTTTTAATGTGTCAAACTTATATAAACATAGGAAAGGGGCTAGGGTCGTGGTGGTAGGATCCCCACATTGAGTTACCACGTCGTGGTACTGTTCCTACCGATGACACCCTCAATTAACACCTTCACAATGTAACCCCCAAATCTATTTAAAAAATAGGTTTAGGCGTATCTTCCCCACTGAATTACTAAAAAAAATTTGAAGTTGGAAAACAGTATAATCGGGTCATAGCCGACCTGATTATATAAAATGTATAAAGTAGAATATATATACTAATAATACATAAAATATTTTTTTTAAAAAAGTTCTATATTTGTGTCTAGGTCTAAATGACTTGGACCGGACCTAGGCCCAAGTCGTGTTTGGGTCCAAGTCTTTTTTAAGTCACTTCACCCTCGACCCAAGTTAGGGTCTAGGTGAAACCTGGTTGGGTCGGTTCCGAGTCGAGATGGACCGGACCCAACCGTACCTGTCACACCCCAAGAATTTACAATACTGATATTCCTGAGATGTGACAGTCAAAACATATATATATTTCTTGATAGGACAAATTTACAGTGGCGAATTCTTACAAGGTAACAAAAGAAAGTTAGCACAACAACAATATCTTTCAAGGTTGATCTTGACTAGCACTCAAAATGAATCCGCATGTATCCTGAAAAAAATGTTTACCATAATTTGATGAGTTTGACTACTCAGTAAGTGATTATCATAATCCTAAAAATAATCATGATTGAAAGATATCAATATTTTCAAAAAGGAGATTTATTAACAGAAATGCATCAACAGTTTCACTTTCAATAAATGCATAATTCAAAGGAGTTCACAAAATACCCTACTGGCGTCCCAAGTAGGTCACCTATATACCGCATCAGCGTCCTAATGGGTCCACTTAATCCCTATCGGCGTCCCAGATAGGTCCACTTAATCCCTGCAGGTCCACTTATACCTCATCGGCATGCCGGACCACTTAATCACGTCCCGGATAGGTCCACTTATACCTCACCGACGAACCAGATGAGTCCACTTGCATACTTAAATTATTTCTAAATCTCTTTAAACATTCGAAAGCAGCAAATATCATGTACTCAACATATCACTGAAATCATTAATATGAATTTCACTGAAAGTATTAATAACAATTACTTTCGATGACATTTCCAAAATAACCAATCAAATATTTTGGGCTCAAAGTCAGAAAGGTAGCAGTTTGTAAAGACATCCTAGCATAATTGCCAATTTAATATGTATAGAAAAACTCTTATAGAAATTCAAGAATACGAAATTATCACAATTTATGGGATATCAATTTACAATTGAACATTTCACAACAATGCTATAATCAATTACAAAAATATCAATTTTTAAGTAATAAGGCAGTCATTTACACATGAAATTTACAATGTCTAAATATTAAAAAACAGTAGAAAGAAATCTTACAATTTTACTAACAGTAGAAATATCATATTTATTTCTAATAATTTTACAGCATTTAAAATTTCTAACATAGTTAAAATATCACAATTTTATTAAACAGATTATTTTTCAAAATAATGAGGTCACTTGCATATAAAATTTATCGTGCCTAAAATTCATGATAATAAGCAGAAATAATTATTTTATTTCATTTTTAAAAAGAACGGATTATTTTTCAAGATAATGAAATCACTTAAACAAAACTTATAAAATAAATATCCTGGACGGAAGTAGCACTATTTGTTAAAAACAGACTATTTTTCAAGAAGATGATGTCACTTACATTAACTCCGAAATTGGGGAAGCATCAGTTCTATCTCACACAAAAACATCGGTACTTTCTTCAGAGACTCGATGTGAATGAAAAATATTTTTCAGGGAAAAAAAGCATATAAAATCAACTTAACCAAGATTGTGACCTTATGCAAATCGTCTGTTTATAATAGGCTCTTGTGGCCCAACAGGCTCAAAAGCAAAAGGTCGATTTTTAGGTATGCAAAACAAATTTCGTAAAAGGACGAAATTTGGAAGAGAAATTTGGACGAGATGTAAATTTTGTCGTGCTAGAATCAATGAGATGGGTAATGATTTGTGCAAATTTGGAGGACAAACTTGCAAAGAGGATTTTTGGTACGCATCATGCAAGCTTTGCTGTGTAGGACGGAGATACAAATTCGGAAGAGAAACTTAGACGGGATCAATGTGAAGGGAATTTGCAAAGAGGATTTTGCAAAGAAGGTTGACAAATATGAAATGAGAAAGCAGGACATGTAATGAAAGGTAGAGTTTAGTGTTTCCAGAGAGAGAGAAAAAGCCGTATAAAAAAGAAACACCTCAGTGCAAGGTGTCGATTAAAGGAGTGTTAGTGTAAAATTTTAAGTTGGTGGACCTAAAGTTCACCCAAATAAAATTGAATCCTCAAATATATTAACAATATCTTTTATTTATTGTTAATATAAAAATAACAATATCCTAACGTTATATTATTATTACCATTATTATTATCATTACTAATATATAATTATTAATTTATTAATTAATTTATTTTAGTTAATATTGTTACAGTACCTGATGCTACTTTCTAGTAGCCTCACTCTCTATTCCAAGAACCTTCAGTTCTATCTCCCCTGGACTCTCTAAGAGCCTTCCCCTCTCTCCCTCTAAACATTAAATTTATAACATATTGAAAATCTTTAAATAATGAATATAAAGTGATGAATATTTGTAGGATTCGATAATGTTTTTTTTTTTAATTAATAATTGTAAATATTCTGATAAATTGATCAAGCCATGTGGAAATCAATAATTTTTATAAAACATACAATTTTAATATCGATTTACAATAGATCATAATTTGAGGTAACTTTGAAGATCGTAATATTGATTAACGGGAAAGGTTTCTATGCTTCCCTTACAGCATAGAAGTTATATCCTCCCCTTACCATCCAGATGTCCAATTTTGATCAAGAGAGTTACTCACTGTTTGATCTTAGATCTGACGTCTCAAAGTATTTTATTTTTAATTTTTTTTTATACAAATTGTATGAATATGAAATTTAGTACATATCATCTTATCATTGGGGCGCACCTATTAAAAATATTAAAAATAATTTTTCGAAAAAATATAATGACCAAAATACCCCTTTAAATTTTTCAAGGGTATTTTGGTTATTTTATTTTATTAAAAATATTTTTTTTTATATTTTTTGCTAGTGCGAGTTTAATAGAGGAATAGACGTCTATAATTTGGTGTCAAAATAGTTTATAGAAAAAAATTAAAAATAAATAGTGTAGAAACGTGACATTGTGATTGGGGCAATCTTAGCCCTCCATTCAGAATGGACGGTTGGATAAGGGAGAAGATAGAACTTCCATGCTGTAGGAAAAGCATAGAAAGATTGCCCATGATTAAAATAGTTCTCCAGTGAAACTGTTTAGATACCGGTTAAGGTTATTGATGATGGTCCTTTGGCTCAAATGGGAACTCCGATCCTTAAAATCAGCAAACTCTTTAACAACACTTAGAATTGTCTCAAGATATTCT